TCTGTGGCCCTAATTAAAGTTTCTGTGGCCTAAGTAACAATTCTCTGGCACTCAGTAACAATTCTGTCTGTCCCTGAGTAACAATTCTCTGGCACTCAGTAACAATTCTGTCTGTCCCTGAGTAAAAATTCTGTGGCTTCTGTCTGTCCCTGAGTATGAATTCTGTGGCCCTAACTAGCGTTTCTTTGTCCCTAAATAACGATTCTGTGGCCCTCATTAACAAGTCTGTGTCCCTGAGTAATGGTTCTCTTCCCTAAGTAACTTTTCTCTGTCCCCAATTATCGTTTCTGTGGCCTATAACTCTGTCCCTGTCCCTAGTACAGAGCGGTCTGCCTCTGTTCAATAACTGCAGGCAAATGAAGAATTCCAAAATGGCCGCTATTTATAGCTCGACCATTACACAGTGCTGGCTGGCTGGCTGCTGATTGGCTGATGCGATCACATGTAGTTGAGGAATGCATTATGGGTCAGCGCGCCTTGTCTGCGCGCCTTCCCAGACATCCCCGCTCCGTCGCCGCACATGTCAGCCGCCATTTTCTGAAAAATTTCGATTCGCGCGTCCGAATTAGGCTATTTTTCGGATTCGGCACGAATCGAAATTTTTCCGATATTCGACTCGAATTCCACTTCGGATACTTCGATTCGCTCATCTCTAGTAAAGATATTTGCCTTTGTTAATTGCTGCAAGTAAAACACTGACATGAAGATCATCTGGATAGGTACAACGTTTCATCCTACTGTGTTTCTTTTTATCTACACAATTTATATATACAAAAAAAACTTCAACTTTCTTTTTTTGTTTTTATAATGCACCTTTATGTCCTGCAAAAGCAATGCAATTATAACAATTTCATAGGATTACTTAGTAACACAGTGCGTGTATCTTTTTATACTAATTTTCATGGCCTGGAGCAGCATTGATTTAATGTACAGTGCGCTGTGCTGTAGGTTGGTGCAGGGGCGGACTGACCATTTGGAAACTCGGGCACTGCCCAAGGGCCCAGGGTCAGTAGGGGGCCCATGAGATGCCCCTGGTACCTTTTTCATAGGCTTTTTTGAGTTTTGGCAAGGACACAGGGGCCCCATGATCCCCTATTGCCCGGGGGCCCCATGAGTTGTCAGTCCGCCCCTGGGTTAGTGTCATTCTGCGCTTTACTTTGACGAGCACAACAGAGCTGAAATGAGGATGCTGGTTGGGTTTACTGAATCAGGTAACTACTATGGGCTGCTGTGTAGTTTATTACCTGGCTTCTGCACCAGATGCAATAGGTTCTTTTGACTTGCATCCACTACTGAACCAGATGGTCATCTAATTGGGTAAGGGCACAATGAACACTACTAGCAGGGTCAGTCCAGGTAAATTTACTATGTTCTGAAGAAAACAAACTAACAATGGTACACTGCAGAATGCCCTGTCAGGAAAGTGTCTGGTGGGTTAGCTTAATTGACATTTGGATACGAAGTGCAATTCTTTAACATTGATTTTGATGGATGAATAAATTAAAAGCTTACCCCTAAACAAAACAGCGGAGAAGGATTAGATCTCCATCAGGAATTAAAGAATACAAGGCAATACCTATTTTTTTGTTTTGGAAGGTAAGATACTGAGTCAAATGTGTTGCACTGTCCAGGTAACTGTGAATCAAAAGAGTGCATAAATTAAGATTCTCTCACGTAACCAAAATATATATGAAAACAAATTCAGTAAGAAAAATGAAGTACATATATACACATAAATAAATAGATATGCAGAAATTCATAAACGTTCATAAATAAAGTTCATAAAGTAAAAGGAAAAAAAAGGTTAGATGACAGCAAACATTCTCAAATGTGCATCTAGCAGCAGTCGCAATGATCTTGTGCTTCTACTCAGCACAACTGTGCATACCACCACAGAGGTATCAAAACCTCTTACTGGAAACCAAGACCTCTGTAACAGAGGGTCTGACAGCGCTTTAGGAAGAAATCCCTCTAGGATGGATGGAGAGGTCCCTGCTCTCCTTCAGATGTAATCATCCAGCTTAAACAATCAGTAATGACACCGCTCTTAAATCCTTATAATGCAGTCATGCACCAGGCAAACCAACAGAATGAATTAGTGCTCTATTGTGCTAGACACACAGTTGAGTACGTTTGCTCGTTATTTACTTGGTTGTCTTCTTTTACTCTATGAACTTTATTTATGAACTTTTATTGAACTTTATTTATAAACGTTTAGGAATTTCTGCTCTTTTATTTATTTACTTATTTTTGTGTGTATACACTATATTGCCAAAAGAACTGGGACGCCTGCCTTTACATGCGCATTAACTTTAATGGCATCCCAGTCTTAGTCCGTAGGGTTCAATATTGCTTTGGCCCACCATTTGCAGCTATAACAGCTTCAACTCTTCTGGGAAGGCTGTCCACAAGGTTTAGGAGTGTGTCTATGGGAATGTTTGACCATTCTTCCAGAAGTGCATTTGTAAGGTGAGGCACTGATGTTGGACGAGAAGGCCTGGCTCACAGTCTCTACTCTAATTCATCCCAAAGGTGTTCTATCGGGTTGAGGTCAGGACTCATCCATGTCTTTATAGACCTTTGTGCAGTAGTGTGCAATCATGTTGAAACAGGAAGGGGCCATCCCCAAACTGTTCCCACAAAGTTGGGAGCATGAAATTGTCCAAAATGTCTTGGTATGCTGACGCCTTAACAGTCCCCTTCACTGGAACTAAGGGGCCAAGCCCAATCCCTCACATCATAATCCCTCCTCCACCAAACTTTACATGTGGCATAATGCAGTCAGGCCAGTACCATTCTCCTGGCAATCGCTAAACCCAGACACGTTTATTGGATTGCCAGACAGAGAAGCATGATTCATCACTTCAGAGAAAACGTCTCTACTGCTCTAGAGTCCAGTGGCGGCATACTTTACACCAATGCCTCCGACACTTTGCATTGCATGTGGTGATGTAAGGCTTGGATGCAGCTGCTCAACCATGGAAACCTATTCCATGAAGCTCTCTATGTACTGTTGTTGTGCTAATCTGAAGGCCACATGACGTTTGGAGGTCTTTAGCTATTGACTCTGCAGACAGTTGGTGACTTCTGCACACTGTGCACTTCAGCATGTGCTGACCCCGCTCTGTCATTCTACGTGGCCTACCACGTCATGGCGGAGTTGCTGTTGTTCCCAGTTGCTTCCACTTTGGTATAATACCACTAACAGTTGACCGTGGAATATTTAGTAGTAACGGCATTTCACAGATGGACTTTTTGCACAGGTGGCAACCTATCACGATACCACGCTTGAATTCACTGAGCTCCTGAGAGCGACCCATTCTTTCACAAATGTTTGTAGAAGCAGTCTGCATGCCTAGGTGCTTGATTTCATACACCTGTGGCCATGGAAGTGATTGGAGCACCTGAATCCAATGATTTGGAGGGCTGGCCCAATACTTTTGACAATATAGTGTATGTACTTCATTTTTCTTTATGAATTTGTTTTCATATATATTTTGATTACAGGAGAGAATCTTTATTTATGCACTTTTTGTTTCACAATTATCTGGTTTGGGAAGTTATTTTTTTATGTATCTCTGTGGTAAGATACAGTGAGTGCTGCTGTTATTTCTAGACTTTTTATTGATTTATGATATTGACACTTTAGTGAATCTCAACCACAGCACCACCTTCCTGGAGTTTGCATGTTCTCCCTGTGCCTGCATGGGTTTCCTCTGGGTACTCCGGTTTCCTCCCACACTCCAAAGACATGCTGGTAGGTTAATGAATGTGAGTTAGGGACCTTAGATTGTATGCCTTTTGAGGGTTAGGGACTGATGTGAATGTACAATATATATGCAAAGTGCTGCGTAAATTGACGGCGCTATATAAGCACCTATAATAAATAGCGTAGGAGATCAGTTTGTAAATTTTCATTTTTGTATGTGTTCCAGTTGTGGAGATTCACCCCACTATTCCTAATAGCAATCACAGTCTTCGAGAAAGAAAGTGAAGGAAAATCCAAACATTTTCAAAATTGTCACCAAAACAAGATGTAAGGTGAAATCTTCCAAGGGGGATAAATATTCTAAAAACAACTATCTAAGAGGGAAATTTCCTCCAACCTACTGTTGCATCTTTGGGACAGAAAGCGAAGGTAAATCATCCCAGCAAAGCACAGACAGCAGAGAATAACCTGATGGGGTTTCAACAGTCCCCATGCTATTCAAAACAAACAAGCTTTTGTTATAGATGTGCTTTAAATGCTGTTTATTTGCCTTTTGGGGATTTACCGCTCATAGCTTATTTGCTTTGTCTGACTGTTACCTGAACCGGAAGTAAATACAACCTGATAATATTTCTAACACTTACAAACTTTATTTAAGAAAAATTGATTGTTTTTTAATTCCTGTTCCGTATGACACCCACCAAACAAATAGGAAGTGAAGGGAAATCTCCCCAGTAGGGCCATGGTGAGCAATAAAAACTCAACAGAGGTTTTTTCACTATGGTGTCCGTTTATGACACAGAGAATAGCTGTGATTCCGAGGATCGCAGCTATTCTCTGGTCATTCACAGTTTATGATGCTCAGGAGATCAGCGGAGAACATGTTCAGCCCTTCACTGGAGATCTGTGTTCTCCCTCCAGATTCTCCAGCCCAGAGCTGGAGAATCGGAGGAACCGCAAACTAAGCAGCGATAATTTACCTCTGTTTAGTAAACTGATCTTTTACTGTAATCTCGCGAGATTATAGTAAAATCAGCTGTTTTCCAGCGTTTGTAGACCATTTTCCAGCGTTTGTAGATCATTCTCCCTTCGTTTGGAGAACTGATCTACACCGCTTCATAAAAGGCATCCACAGGAGAACTGTGTTCTCCGAGAATGCTGGAGAACTGAGCAGCAATCTATTACCGCTGGTTCATAAACGGACACCTTTGTCCAGAAATAATATTAATTAATAGCTGGAGTTGTGCTTTAAAGTATACAATTTAGCAAGTTTGCTATTTAACAAAACAGCTTATCTATCACGTTTGTGACATTTCATTCTTTTTAGAGATGCTTTCACCTCACTGTTTCTCAAAGAATAAATGATGGGATTTAACATGGGAGTCAATAAAGTATAGAAAACAGCAATAGCCTCTTCCACTAAATAGTCCACAGACTGAGGACTAATATAAATGAACACAGGTGGTCCATAGAAGAAGATGACAGAAATCAGGTGTGATGAACAAGTGGAGAAGGTTTTTCTTCGCCCTGCAGAAGTCTGGATCTTCAGTATTGTTTTTATTATGTGGAAGTAAGATACTAAGATCAAGAGGAAGCAGAAGAGAGCAACAGCCCCGATGTTGGTGATGATTACTGCTTTGTTGATGGTTGTGTCAGCACATGCAAGTTTTAGTACTGGGATAACATCACAGAAAAAGTAATCTATCCTATTGGGGCCACAGAATGGGAGTCGGAAGGTTAGTGTAGTATGTATCATGGAATGGAGTGAGCCAGTCAGCCATATGCCAGCAGTAAACCGTGCACACAGCTTGAGGTTCATAAGGTTTGGGTAATGAAGTGGCCGACAAATGGCCAGAAATCGATCATAAGCCATAACAGTGTACAGAAAACACTCAGTGCTTGCAAAGAAATGGAAAAAATACAACTGAATGATACAATGTCGAAAAGAAATGGTCTTGTCCCTCTGCAGAAAGTTTGAAAGCAGTTTGGGCAATGTAACTGTAGATAGCCAAATGTCTAAAAAAGAAAGATTCAGTAGCAATATGTACATAGGTTTGTGAAGGTGGGAATCCCTTTGTACGGTCAAAATTAGTATAACATTTCCAAAGAGTGTAGAAATATAGATACACAAGAATAACATGAATAATGGAATTTTCATTTCTTCGGAATGCGGAAGTCCTAAAAGGGTGAACTCAGTCACTGAAGTGTAGTTCATAAGCTCCATTACTCTATTCATTAAAAAAATAGAGAGAACATGTTACAAAATGAAGCAAAATAAAAAAGTAGTCTTGTTTAGTATACGGCAGTTGCCATTATTACAATATAAGTGAAGGTATCCTTATAGCATAAATCTACATACCATCACTCGTGCAACTCGAGTTGATTCACTAAAGAAATAGATGATGTGCACTAACCTTAGTAAGAGTTCACTTCAATCACACAATTATGTGTTAGCAAAAATCCATTATTTTTCTGTTTCAGCTGCACATTATCAGCCATTTAAAATGAGCACAGCTTCACCTTATTCACCAAACAAAGTGAAGATATTTTACTAATTTAGTAAATCAATCACAAGAAGTAATTTACTAAGAGAGTACAAATAACACATATACCATCTGTAAACTTTCAGTGCAGCACTACATATTTAATGACAAAGGGCAGCAGATTTAAAGAGTCCTATTTATTCTGAAATATCTTTTTTTGTCATTTTCTTTAATGTAAATTACTATGTTTTTTCAAAATGGCAACAGTTAAAGCTATATCCTCTCATAGAAAGAGTTGGTCTGAGTTTTAGCTGATGTTTTATTTATTTATTTAATACAGGTACTTACATAGCACCATCAATTTACACAGCACTTTACATATTTATTATACATTCAGATCAGTCCCTGCCCTCAAGAAATTTACAATCTAAGGCCCCTAATTCACATTTCTACATACAGCTACTAGAACCAAATTAGAAAGGAGCCAATTAACCTACCAGCATGTCTGTGGAGTGTGAGCGTGCCGTGGCCATTTTAGCACACCTATCCCACATGATATTTTCTTCTGTTTTTGCCAAGTCAGTGAATAAATCAGGCCATGAAAAGCAGGGGAGAAGTAAAAACCCAAAAGTGAACAGTACAAGAAGGTGCTGACTTTCCTAGATGGCTGACATGGAACCAGAAAAATCTAATTTATTTAGTTGGAACGTCTTGTTTTAAAATAAGTTCCACTACAGTACCTTGATACGAAAACATCAAAAGAAGTAAAAATATGAAATGCGTTATCATTAACTTTGGTAGATGTCTGAATTAAGGGAAAATTAATTGTGTTAAACTTTGAATGCAATACTATTTAAAAGTCCCCTGTTTCCTAATCATGGTAAGACAGAAGATGTGTTACTTCACAAACAGTGGATTAAAGAATGAACGTAGGACGGCTGCCTTACATATCCGAAGCGGACAACAAGAACAATATTCAATACATTTGTAATACTTAGCAGCACTTTTCTGGAATATACAGTGAAACTACACTGCATTTGGGCACCTCAAACCAAAAACGCTATTTGATTAATTTTTGATATTCAAAGCAAATTCCTTCTTCCATCCATATCACCATGCTTTGTTTTGCTGAGAAATCACTTTGACCCCCTTCCCTAGCATTTCTGGCTGTGGCCATCTTGAGTCAGGGCAGAGGATTCATGTAGCATTAACTTCCTGTAATCCATCTGCTTTTAGCTCAGGCAAGCAGGGGTATGCTTAGCTGAGAAAGCCCCTCCTGAACACTCCTGAATACTCCTAGGCAAGAATCCAGGGCGTAAAAGTAGAAATGTAAAAAAAAAAGTTTAAAACAAGTACCGTAAATATAATATACCTTCCTATATATTTACTAATGCTAGCAGCATAAGGATTAAAAATAGCAAATGTTGATTGAGAGAGTGAAGTTCTGCTTTTAATGCTTATAGGATTGTCTATGAAGGCTCTCATTTATCCAGGTCACGATATAGCTAGTAGTAGTTAGTCATATTCATCTGGACTTGTTCTGTAATGAAGAAGATTCAAGAGAAATCACCTACAGTCAGGTCCATAAATATTGGGACATCAACACAATTCTAACATTTTTTTTGGCTCTATACACCACCACAATGGATTTGAAATGAAATGATCAAGATGTGCTTTAACTGCAGACTGTCAGCTTTAAACTGTTGTAATTCCTACACCGTTCACACTGATTTGGATGTAAATACCCTAAAATTAAAGCTGACAGTCTGCAGTTAAAGCACATCTAGTTTGTTTCATTTCAAATCCATTGTGGTGGTGTATAGAGCCAAAAATGTTAGAATTGTGTCGATGTCCCAATATTTATGGACCTGACTGTACATCATTCTGTAACAACCATCCCTAAACAGGAGTGGAAGCTTTTGACACCAGCCATCACCTACATTTTAGAATTCTATTTTAAATTTCTCCAATCCAGTGATTTGACAAGTCAAATCTTCTGCCATGTAACTTGAACAAATGACACATGTTCCAGGCTTTCTGGCAGCATATTCACTGAATTATTAAAATAGAACAAGGTGATGGTCTTAATATATAGTAGCATGACAATTGGGGGTGCTTAACACATATTTAAACCCAAGAACAAACATTTTATTTTTTTGCAGCTCTGTCTGATCTTGTACAGGTTCTTTAAAGTGGAGAACAGATGCACTTGAAGTATTTTTTTTTATTAATTTCAAATGAACTATTAATGACTATATTTATGATTAATAAATCCTAGTGCCTAATGAGGACAACTATCTGTAAGTGTTTTTGAAAGCTTACATCTAAAAAAAAATATATATAGTTAGCCAGAAGAAAAATATCACTAACATTTTCACTTTTGGGATGATTTCTTATCCCTAAGGTATTTCATGGAAATTCTATCAATCCGGTTTTAGTTTTATCTTTCTTTGTTCATTTTCTTATTCTTTATACTCTTTTTTGCAGCTTTCAATGTTTTCCATTCAATACCTTTTTCATTGAATACCACAATCAAAATAAAAATCAATAACAACAACACATGATACAAAGATAAGAATGTGTAAAAGAGTAAGCTGAGAGTCAAGCCATTTGTATTTATGGAAAAAAGGTAACTAGAGAAAAGAAAATGTAAACCAAACATTAGTGTTAATAACTGTAACATGCCTGCAAAAATCCTTGATCTGGAACAGAATCAACTTGAGAAGACAACAGAGAGAATGTGTGATAGATGAGACATCTCTGTCACAGCTTTTTAAATTATTTGATTTATCATACAGTATGTGTGATTATATACATATTTAAACATTTTGATTAAATGATCAAACGGTATGCGTGAATATATACTTACTGTATTTCTACATTATTAATTAAATGATCAAACAGTATGTGTGAATATATAAATATAAATATATATATTTAATGAATTTATCAAAAGTATGTGTGACTTTGTATATATTTATACATTACCTTTATTAGCAAACTGCATTAGCTGTAGTTTTTTGTAATTTTTGCACAGTCATGTCCATACCATTCTCACTGTATCAATGATGCCAACATTTTTTTTTTTTGGTTTCTGCGTTGCACTCAGACATGCTTTCATTATTTTAATACGTTTTCCATTCTAAATATCCTTATGTCCACCAACCTATCAACATCATGCTGTCCAAGAGTACATTGGTATTTACTTATAATTATTCCTGTAAGAGGAATAAACCACATATCAACACGATGATTCAGGAATAGATGGCTAACATTAAAAACTGTATGGGAATATAAATGAGATGTATAATTGTTGACATCAATCCACATAACATGCTGTAACTTCAAACTGTGAATGGAAATCTGTATTCAGATGTTATCTATGTATATAGTGGAACAGATTCAGTGACTGGCAGTATTTGTCTCTTTATCCATTTCATTGCCTTAGGGAAATATTCCCTATGCTATTATTTTTACTTGTTTGTAGTTTAATGTCTTAATCATTTACACAAAAGAGTAAGCTATTTCATGATTACATGTACAGGATAACCACTAAGGGATACCTTTGGATATAAGTGGTAAATGTTATTAAACTAGTTAAAGTAGTTAATAATACACTAACTAAATGATGACTGAATGACTATTCACCTACTAGTATATTTTTTAGTTGAAACACATGGCCATCTTTAAAATACTTGAAAATAATTTGTCCCATTTGGCACATTGTTCTATGTATGTAGTGCACCACTTTTGGGTACAATGAACAATACTCATAGAGAAAAAGATGAATTTGTGGAATGTTGAAGAGACAACGTCTGAGATACAGCTAAATATTAAAAAGAGCACTTTTCTACTTTTTAATTAGTAATCTTTACTAGTTTGCCAATACTACTATGCTGATTAGTTGTTTTACGCAATTGCCCAAAGCATAAAGCTAAACTCCAGACAGATATAAAAAACCACCAGTTTGTAAGCAGGTGCAGTTAACCAGTCTGCCACTAGGTAGCTCTATTCCAAGATAGTGTGGGAATAGCGAATTGTGTGATTGGGTGTTAGGTTCCCTTTTAGAAAAAGCCTTCCTATAGTGATGTAATAGGTGCAGTCGAAGCCCTTGTAAGTGCCAGGATGGGTGGAGCCCCCTTCAGGGGGCTAAAACTCTGGGTGAGGTAGGTTAACATCCAGAAGAACCAGCTATAGCTGCCCTGAATCTTTTTCGATTCTGATGTGGATGACAAAGACCTTTTAGGCCAGGCTATGTGTGCTCTGAGATGTGCATACACCTGGGAGTGAGAGAGTAACATCGGGAAGCATTTCCAACTGTGCACAGCAGAGAGTATGGGACATAGAGAAAGAGATGTAATCCCAGGCTGACTCCATGATGTTGAGATCAGGTTCTGTGAGAGCAAAAACACTTCCAAGACTCCTTGTTCTTCTTTACCTTAACCCCTTCCCGCCGGCGCCTCCCAGCCCTTTTAAGAGTTTCAGACGCCGGGAGGCGGGGCGGGTGGGGCGTGGTTTCGGGATCATGTGACTGCCGTGACGTGCCGTCACGGCGGTCACATGATTGGGAAAGGTCCCGATCAAAAGAGCGGACAAGGACCTTTCCGTGAGTAACGCACATGTGTGCTGGGAGCGCGCAGGGCACGTGCTCTCAGCACATATGTTTTTTGTTACA